GTAGTAGTAGTATAAGTAGTCGTAGGAGTCGTAGTGGTAGTACTAGTAGTAGTAGTAGTAACCGTAGTAGTAGTAGTAGTAGTAGTAGTAGTAGTAGTAGTAGTAGTAGTAGTAGTAGTAGTAGTAGTAGTAGTGGTAGTAGTAGTAGTAGTAGTAGTAGTATAGTAGTAGTAGTAGTAGTAGTAGTAGTAGTAGTAGTAGTAGTAGTAGTAGTAGTAGTAGTAGTAGTAATAGCAGTAGTAATAGTAGTAGTAGTAGTAGTAATAGCAGTAGTAGTAGTCGTAATATCATTATGAGTGCCAATATTATTATGCCCTATAGTATGCATAGCAATGTTAATACATTAAGAAGTTTCTCGTTCTCCACCTCGCGTGAACAAACTACATGTAAGGTTACGTGCAGGGTCTTGAATCGGTGGTGTCCCTCCAGCAGGCTTCGAGTGAAGCTAGCGGGCCCTAATCCTACACCCTACACCCAAACACCCTAGCCCTAACCCGAAGCACAGCACTAAGCCTAACACCCTGTTCCCTACACCTTAATACCCCAATACCCTGGCACCCGAACCCTGCCACCCAACACCCTAAACCCTGCCACACCTGACCCTAACGCACTAAGCCTAACACCCGCACTCTAATCCGAAGCACTACGCCAAACCTGGCATCCTAAGCCCAAACACTCGAACACCCTTACCCTAACAATCTAGCCCTCACACGTGAAAGCCTAACGCACTGAATCCTAACACACTAAGCCCTTACACCCGAGCCCTAACGCTAAGCATGCTACTTAAATCTTACACCCCCAAAACCCTGACCCTAACACCAGAACCCTAAGCACAACACCTGATCCAAAACAAAAATCCATCCTAATCCGACACCCTGGCACCTGACCCGCATATCCTAACGGTACCCCTAAGCACTAACTCCGAACCCTAACTCCCTGAACCCGACCACTCGTCGAATCCTAGCGCCCAAACCCTAGCACCCTAAACGAATACTGAAGACCCCGACTCCCTAACCCTAAGCACTGAGCAGTAACTTTAGCAACCTAAATCTGAACACCTTATCCCTAACACCCTGACCCTGCCACACCCTACTCTGGGTTAATGGGTTTCTTAATAAGCGTAGGGGGGTACCCCTCAACCTCGCCTCGTCGTCGCGCCGCGATAGGGGTCGGAGCGCCTTCGGCGCGCGGTGGCTGCCCGCGACGAGGGTCGATGTGGGGATGTCGGCGGGGGCGACGCCCCCCCCCCACGCTTATTAAGAAACTCGGAGTATCCCTAAGACTCCAACCCATACACGCCGGTCGGAAGAAGTAGATAAAAACATTAAGTAGGAAGGCGGTTCAAGTAGATTGGGTTCAGGACCTCCCAGAGAATAACAAACCACAGAAAAAACGTATCGGTTCTTGAAGTAGGAAGGCGCTCCAAGTAGATTGGGATCTGGAAAGCCAGAAATACCTACTTTCAACGACCGGCGTGTACCTAACACACGACCCCCAGCTCTCGAACCGAACCCGATCCCGTAACCCCTGACAGCCCCTCACACGTGCCCGCGCGGGCCCTTTCCCGCCCACTTCCGCCGCCAGAGGGGAGGAGGAGGAGGAGGAGGAGGAGGAGGAGGAGTGGGAGGAGGAGGAGGAGGAGAAGGAGGAGGAGGAGGAGGAGGAGGAGGAGGAAAGGGAGGAGGAGGAGGCGGAGGAGGAGAAGGAGGGAGAGGAGAAGGAGGAGAAGGAGGAGGAGGAGGAGGAGGCAGTGGAGGGAGAGGAGGAGCAGGAGGATGTGGAGGAGGAGGAGGAGGAGGAGGAGGAGGAGGAGGAGGACGAGGACGAGGACGGGGAGGAGGAGCAGGACGAGGACGAGGATGAGGACGAGGACGAGGAGGAGGACGAGGACGAGGAGGAGGAGGAGGAGAAGGAATTGGGGGAGGGGGGGCGACCGCCCCATCACCAGAAAAAACACGTGAAAGCGCCGCGGCCGCCCTCTGCCGGCCGTGGGGGAGCCGCAGGTCCAGTGCGCTGCCCCAGCCGGCCAGGAAACGCTGCAGCGCCTCGCCTTCGTCCGCCTGGCACCGGAGCATGCGCCGCTCCACCTCCTCGATGCGGCGCAGGGCGCCCCGCTCCGCCTCCTCTGGGGGCAGGGAGCTCCACACAGATCGAGGCCCGCTGCGCAGAAGGAGTGTGCGACCCATATCGAGGTCTGTCGGAGGGGGGGGTAGCAATGCCGACGAGGGCGAGGGGTCCAGGGTCTGGCGAGGGTGGCCGAGCGAAGTGGCGAGATGTGCCACAGAGGCTCAAGACGAGGGCGAAGAGGACGACAAGGAGGGGACATGGCGAGCAGAATGGCGAAGGCGGGGAGGCGGACAACGAGGACTGCTCAGTCAAGGAGGATGGAAGCAGGATCAGGACAACTGCAACCACAGGACTGGTGACAGCACATAGGCGTCTAAAAAAGCACGCCTGGACTGAACTGGCCACATCACTGGAGCGGGCAGATGTCGTTACACCGAGTCGCCTCTGCAAGACTCCTGCCCCCAGAGCGCGCTGGGTGGCAAGAGCATGATGCCAAGGGGACAGCGCTGACTGGTCCAGCACAAGAGCTGGTGGTCATGGACAAGCGCGTTCCACTATTCGCGAAGTAGCTACTCGCAAATGGCCTGGATCCGCCGCGGAGGATTTACGATACATTACATAGAGGAAGACATGTTTTTGTTCGAACGTTTGCGAGTAGGCACTTTGCGAGTGGTGGAGCGCGCCCGGCGAGGTCAGGCGGAAAGCAGCCCCCGCCGCTAGAGTCACCCCACTAGATGGCGCCGCGCCGCCCTGCCGGAGCCTTGGGCGGGCATGACCCACCCGAGTCTTCGAAGGAGCCATGGTGAGGGCAGTGGGTAAGGAACCACAGGATACAATCGACCCGCATCATAAGGACGCACGATAAGGATGCAAGGGCCTTGGAAGGCCGTGTCGACACTTCGCGGGCGGGGCGCGGCCAGCAAAAGCGGCCAAGGATGGGCCGAAGAGGCAAGGATGCAAGGGGCACCCTTGGGAAGGTTGCCCATCCTTATGCGACGCGGGTGGACTGCAAGGAACCCAGAATCTGAAAGCGGGTGGAGCTCCAACCGTGGACTGGCGTAGCCGCCGACCTCCAGGGTCTGCAGCCTCCTCGGCACCTTCCTTGACCAACGCGCCCGCCGTAGTGCATCTGTTGCACTGCCATCCATGTCACGGCGTCCCACGGTCCATCCGAGCACCATCCTGGCAGGCTTGATGAGCAGAACCAGGCTGTGCCGATGATGGCCCCCCAGCGGCCGAAAAGTAGCCGCGATGTTTCGAAACTTGTGATGTCTGTGCTACCCGTGCAAATGTTATACGGTCTGTTGTGTGCTCAATGCTGAATGCGCGCGGCGACTGCAATGCGTTTCACGTGCAACAAGGTACGACGCATAGCGACAACAAATCGAGCACGCGACGCTTCGCCGCAGATATCATACATGTCGTGGCGTGGCGCGACATCACGCTGTGGTGCTACTGCGCGCGTAAGATGTTACAAACCATATTGCAACATGCTGAACTACATTGAATCCAACTAGCCCTCCGGGCTGAGGTGGTCTAGTGCGCTCCTGCTTCTTCTTCTTCGTCCAACCCCTTTACTCCCCCTCGGTGAGGGGTTTACGCCTCCCCCTCCCGCCCCCCCTGGGTCTGGACGGGGCGCCCCGCGAGGTGTTGGAGCGACCAAGATGGCCCAAGATGGCTACAAGATGGCACAAGGGAGCTAAATATTACTGTCAAGATAGAATAGTAGCCCCGAAGAGGCCCCAAGAGGTCCTCTAGTAGACACACAACAAGCCCCCAAGAGGCCCCCAAGAGATCCCAGAAAAGCACCCCAAAGGCCGCAGGAATGCCCCCAATAAGCCTTCACGAGGCCTCCGAGAGGAATCCCAAGAGAACCCGAGAAGCCCAACAAGCTTCTGACCCACGACCCAGGCACGTTGGCGTGACGTACTGACAGGTCTTCGGTGGGGGCGTGCTCCGTTTAGTTTTGCCTTGCAACTATCCTGCCACGGTTTCCCCCCCCCCAGCGAGGTTCACGCTACAGCTCAGGAAAACGACCGCCACCACCCACTGCTTGCTCGGCCCACGCGAGCACGCAGGAAAGTGCCAGCAATGGTGCAACATGAGTCAGCAGAATGAGCGAAGCGATTGAGTGAGTAATGCCCACGGTGACGGCTGTGACTGCGTCTTCACGTGTGTTTCGCGCGCACATACATCGCAATTGTTGGGCACAGTATCAAGAACAAAGTTCGATCAGCTCCTCTCGACAAAAAAACAACCACGCATAAACAACTATGAAAGGGCAAGTTCGCATTATAAGTAACTACCGTAGTCATATCGCTGGGTCGTCTAGCAACAACTGGCCCGGGGAGCTGGATCAAATGTTAAGGGCAACATGTGTTCAAAGCGCCGGTGGGTTTCAAGCGCACACACACACAAACGCACACATAGCCACACACACGCGTGCGAGCGGAAGACAAACTCAGGTGAGCTGGCCCGAATGCGCTTCGAAGCGAACCCAAAGGTAATGCTGAGGTGCACAGAAAAGGAGAGGGTCCAACTTTAGCGCACATGAACAGGAAAGGGCCCATGAAATACAGGACCATCGACGAGCGGATGAACCAACAGATCGGGCGACCTAACAGCAGGGTGTCATGCCACGGCAACTCCCACAATGCACAACGCACTGTAAAATACAACAAAAAAACAAAAAACAAACACGCTAGTCGCAGTGCATGACGGTCGAGAACTAGTTCGGCCCCGACGACCACTACCCAGTGGCCTCCTGGCCAAATCAATGCAGCATCCCCTACCCCATCCCCACCTCCCCTCTTTATCTGGCCCCTCCCCTTCGTTCTTGCAATGGAGGGTTCACTGGGCAGTTGGGAGGACGATCGCTTGGACGGGGAGTCAACCCGAGAGATCGTCAATACAAGCACGTTCGTCGAGTTGACAGTCTCCGACATCTGTTCCCTATTCGACGTTACGCCGCTGCAGTCTGTGACGAGATCGTTGACCTGGATATATCATTCTTCGGCTGCTTGGCATTCCAGTGCGGATTATGGCCGGGAGTATCTCCTTGACACGGACAGCCTGATCATCTTTCGAGACGGTGTCGAAGAGAACACTGTTTAACCCTCTTGTAACACCCCGTTGTCTTGGCAGTGCCCTCCCAACTGATCGGCCTGGGCGCAGCTTGCTCAGCTAGATCGGTGTTTTTTGGTTCCTCGGCCTCGGGCGCGGCACTGGTCTCAGCGGCGGGCTTCGCAGACCCGCCACGATACGGAAACATGCTCGGCTGCCTGCACCAGGGGTGGGCCAGACAGCACAACAACAGATAAGGGAAGAAGGGGGTAGACATGTTGGCGCGGGTCACCTCCGGGCGCGGCCCTCATCGACCCCTTACCTGACGAGCCCCTCCCGAGAAGACCCCACTCTCGCCGCCGGGGCGCCCCTTTTGGCCGCCTGTCCACGTCTTGAAGCGAGGGAAGGCGATCGTCACGACAGGGGTCGGTCTGCCAGGGGCTGGTCAGGCCGCCCCTGACACCTGCAGTGCATGGGTGGGGGGCCCTCGACCCCATCCCACTCCTCTTGCCCCAGCAGACGTGGGAGGTCTCTGCTTGCGGTGTTCGTCTGGCCACCCGCCAGATGCGCGGCGGGCGGGGTGGGCGCATCTGAACTCTGCCGCTGGTGGCGGCGGGGAGGCCAGAAATGACGGCAGCCAGCGGTGGACGGCGGTCGGCGACGACGGCGACGGGGGGCGATGCGGGCGAGCCGGCTCTCTCAAATTCTAAAACTCCGCGCGTGGGCCTGGCGGGCGGGGGGCCACTCATGCAGGCTGCCTCTGGAGTGTCCACGGTGCCCGTCCCGTGTCCCTCGCTCTGCGGCACGCACCGGGCGCAACACACACACACACACACACAGTGGCTTCGCCGGGAGCATCCGCACGCACACGCCCTGACGGCCCAGGCTTCGATTGCTGCCCCGCAGGTTTCCGAAAGCCCCCGCGGGCGTTCCTGCCGAGTCTCTTCACGGACCTTGCAGCAGGGGCTCGTGGTGGTTGCGTCGGGCGTCCTCGCGGAGACCTGAGCCGGGGACGGCCGCGCTGCGCTCCTGGAGGGGCTCGCCGCCGCGGCCACTGCTACAGCAGAGCGCTCTCACAACAGAACGTACCGAAGACATCGACAGCTAGACTCTCCCCCGTCGGAGGGGTGGGGGGGAGAAAGAAGCGGAGGAGCAGAAGACGCAGGAGCCGGAGGAAGAGGCGGACGGAGAAGGGGAGCTGGGGGGGAGGCTGGAGCGCCTGGCAGGAGAGCCCAGAATCGAATCGAGAAGTCGGATCGGCGATCGACATGAATCGGATCGACAGAAATCAGCACCCGAGCCGGGAAAGGTCGAATTCGCGGAAATCGGCAGGCCAGTATGCCTCCAACGAGACATCGGAACCCAACTCGGAATCCCGAGTCGAATCGGAATCGGAATCGGAAGCCATCGAAGTCGAATCGAATCGACTCGGAGGAATCGAAGCAATCCCTGGGGGAGGGGCAAGTCCTTTGACCACTCTACTGCCGCCGAAGCCTCTTGCAGTGGGAGCTGCCGAAGGGCAGCTCGACGGCCTGCGGGGCTACTCGACCCATGCCTTGGGCGGCCTCCTGCAAGAAAGGTGCGGGGTGGACCTTACACTCTCTTCGTGGGCCTTGTTCTCGCGTTGATCAGGCGCGACTGACCTGGTAAGAACTCGGACCCAAGGAGTTGCCTGATCCCTGGCTTCTAATCCCCAGCATGGACCGCGATCCCTGTCGGAAAGGGTGGTTGCAATACAAAGTACATGGCAATAGTAAGGAGCCAAACTCTATACACCGACGCATTTTCGGCCCCCGTACTGAAACTCGCTCAGGAAAGCAGATCCTGGTGTATACGGGATCCTGGTGTATACATGTTTCGCCATTTCCCCCGGAAGACGGGACAAAAAGCATACACCCCACACAACCCCGACGTCGTCCCCGACCCTCAAAAAGTCCCAGATTGCAAAACAGCCCGCCACTGCTAATGAATACTCCGACTTTCTTACTAAGCGTCGGGGAGACGTCACCCCCGCCGACAGCCCCACATCGACCCCCGTCGCGGGCAGCCACCGCGCGCCGAAGGCGCTCCGACCCCCTTCGCGGCGCGACGACGAGGCGAGGTTGACCCCCGTCGATGGGGTGCCCCCCACGCTCATCATGAAACCCAGAGGATGCTCCGGTTTCCGAAATCGAGCGAGGTGGCCGAGGAGCTCGAAGTACCCGGCGCCCAGCGGTCACAGACCACGTCGAAGCCGGCCATGCGAGGCGAGGGCGTCTCGGACGGGATGGTGGGCTGCATCGCCGGCGACGCGCAGCGGTCTCACGCTGGTGCCAGTGTCCCTCCTCCTCCTTCCTCCTCCTCCTCCTCCTCCTCCTCCTCCTACTCGTCCTCCTCCTACTCGAGCTTCTCCTCCTCCTCCTCAATAAATATACATATATATAATCCCCTCCTCTGTCTCCATCCTTCTCGTCGTCCCTCCTCCTCCCCCCCTTCTTCTTATTATCACTCTTCTTCTGATGATTTTCATATTGAATTTGGATGCTTAGGAATTGTTATTATTAGTCGTGGTAACCTTAAGGTTAGTATTACTATTATTATCGGTGTTGGCGTGATGATTGATAATATGTCTCGTCTGATTATCCTGTTACGAATATTATCATTTTAATATCGGTCATATTCTCAGTTGAATCATGTGCATTCAGACTAGTATTCATATTATTAATCGTCTTCTTCTTCCTATTCATACTGATGATCATCATCATCATCATCGTTGTCGTCGTGGTCGTCATCATCATCATCATCATCATCATCATCATCATCATCATCATCATCATCATAATCATCATCATCATCATCATCATCATCATCATCATCATCATCATCATCATCATCATCATCATCATCATCATCATCATAATCATCATCATCATCATCATCATCATCATCAGTAGCGTCATCATCATCGTCATCATCATCCACATCATCATCGTCATCATAATCATCATCAACATCATAATCATCATCATCATCATCATCATGATCAGTATCATCATCATCATCATCACAATCATCAGCATCATCATCACCTCCCCATCACCATTACCGCCATCAACACAATACGCATCATCATCATCATCATCAGTAGCGTCAGCATCAGCATCATCATAATCAGCATCTCCATAATCATCGTCATCGTCACCACAATCTGCATCATCACCATCGTCATCATAAGCATCATCATCATCATCAACAATGCCATGACACACGTCATCAACATCATCATAATCAGCGTCAGCATTATCCTCAGCAAGGTCATCGTCGTCATATTGTCCATCGTCATCTGCATAACTATACTGACGTCATCAGCACCACCAGCACCATCGCAATCAGCATCATCAGATTCGTCATCCTCAACCTCATCATCAACAGCATCATCATGATCAGCAAAATCAGCATCATCATCAACATCAGCATGCCCATCATCAGCATCATCAGCAGCAGCATCACCACTAACACCACTATCACCATCATCATCACCATCATCATCGTCGTTATCGTCGTCGTCCGTATCATCATCATCAGCAGCATCATCATCAGCAGCATCATCATTATCATCACCGACATCACCACCTTCAGCATCATCCTGATCATCATCATCAACCTCATCAGCAACACATCAGTACCATCAACATCAAGCATCATCGGCAGCATTATCAGCATCACCATCATCAATCGATGAATCAATCAATCAATCATCATCATCGCCATCGTCCGTATTCTAATCATCAGAATCATCATCATCGTCAGCAGCATCATCGTCATCACCATCAGCCTCATCATAATCACTATCATCAGCATCATCATCAGTATCATCATCATCATCATCATCATCATCATCATCATCATCATCATCATCATCATCATCATCATAATCATCATTCATGGCCCTCCCTCACTTCTCCCTGACACTCCTCCTCCGCCTCCGATAACGCGCAAGACAACGAGGACGGTGACGATAAACGACGACGGCGACGACGAAGACGACGACTCACCTCAACTCAACAACTCTAGAAGCGATACGACGACGACGACGACGAACGACGACGACGACGACTACGAACGAGAACGACCGACGTCGATCGACGACTGCGGCAGCGGCGCAGGCGCCAGCGTCGGTTCGTTGAAGACAGAGGAGGAGCAGGACGAGGAGAAAGCAGGGAAAAGGAGAACGGGAGGGGGGGAGGGAGAGAGACAGAGAGACAGAGAGAGAGAGAGACAAGGAGGAGAAGGAGGAAGAGGAGGAAGAGGGGGAGAAGGAGGAGGAGGCAGAGGGAGGAAGACAAGGAGTGGGGAAGGGAGAGCGGGAGAGAGAGAAGGGCGGGAGGAGAAGGAGATGGAGGGGGATGGAGAGATGGTGAGTGGGAGGAGGAGGATAAGGATGAGAGTTTTTGAAGCAGACCAGGTGCCCATAGCTAACTACGGGGAAAAAAATGACTGATGCAGCTAGCCTGAGCCAGACTAGATCACGACATGCACGCCAGCCGAGAAGGCGCCTTCTCACCTCAAAGCGTCTGGAACCCTGCGTAGCTGGGGCTGTGACCCTGCTGCATCAGGGTCGAACCTCTCACGCGTGAGGGCTTGCTGTTTCTCGTGTAGACCTCGCTGGAAGGATCCAACGACAGCAGCAGGCTTGCAGAGGATGCCAGGTTGCTCGGGGACGCATTGTTTCCTGAGCTTCTTGTATCGCCAGCCACTGGAGTACCCGAAACACTGATGACATCCATGCCTCATGGTGAGATCGGGCACGAAAGAGCGACGATCTTGCTTCCTCGCTCACGAAACGAGAGCGCGGCCGTCGGGAACTGACATATGCTGCGTGCGGCATGAGGCTGGCCCTCCTGCCGATTCGACACCACGAACCACCAAAAGGGCTTGCGCCAGAGCTAGACGTGGGGTGCAATAGTTCATTGCATCGACCCTGCAGACGTACTGCAGAGGATTTCTGCGTGGATTTCTGTCAATGCCAAAGCCCCGACCGAAACGGCGAGCGAAAAACGAAGTGAAATTCACGTGGATGTTTTGTAATCCTCATTCCTGGTCCCCAAAAATTCGCACGACATTCACTTGGAGATCTGGAACGAAAATCTCCAGGACCATCTGGGCCCATCCCTTTGCTTTCCGAACGAAATGCGCTCTGCGGTGTTGGCGCCACGAGTAGTAATAACCTGCGCACCAAAGGAATCCCTGCGATGTCGGCCTTCGACCAGAAAGGGAAGACGGTATGTGTGCGAGCCTGCAGAACGAGCGGGCCATCTCAGCCGAGGCCTGCAACCTGGACGGGCGACTGCGGCGGCTGGGCGGCCGCGCCCCTCTTGGCGACGGCGTCCGCGGCATCGTCGCCTATCTCACAGAAACGCTCAGAGAAACGCTCAGAGAAGAAGGCGGAGGAGGAGAAGGAGGAGGAGTAGGAGGGGGAGGAGGAGGAGGAGGAGGAGGAGGAGGAGGAGGAGGAGGAGGAGGAGGAGGAGGAGGAGAGGAGGGGAGGAGGCGGAAGACGAGGAGGAGGAGGAGGCGGAGAAGGAGAAAGGAGGAGGAGGAGAAGGAGAACGAGCGAGAGAGCAAGCGAGGCGCCGGTTGCAGGCTCGTGCGGCGAACCGCGTGTGCCTGTGCCCGTTTGAGCGCAAGGCGCGCGAGAGGCCGTGGCCTGTCTCATGTCCTGCAGAATTCCTTGGTTCACGCGAGGATCTGCATGGCTGCAGGCCAGAAGCTAGAAGTCGAGATGCGGAGGAGGAGGAGGAGGAGGGGGAGGGGGAGGAGGAGGGGAGGGGGAGGAGGGGAGGAGGAGGAGGAGGAGGAGGAGGAGGAGGAGGAGGAGGAGAGGAGGAGGAGGAGGAGGAGGAGGAGAGAGGAGGATCGGAGGATGACGAGGGAGGAGGGAGGAGGAGAGGAGGCGGAGGGAGGAGGCGGAGGAGGAGGGAGGGCGGGGGAGAAGGAGGAGGAGGAGGAGGGGGAGGAGAAAGTGGAGGAGGAGAAAGTGGACAAGGAGGAGGAGGAGGAGGAGGAGGAGCAGGAGGAGAAGAAAGTGGACAAGGAGAAGGAGGAGGAACAGGAGGAGGACGGCAGCGGAGGCCGCAGAAAGGCGGCGCTCCTCTGCGCTGCGGCGCAGCTCGTTCGCCTCCTCAGCTCGGACCCGCGAGACGCGGCTGCACATAGCCTGCAGAGCCGGGGAGGCGCCTCGCTTATGTTTGGTTGTCCTTGTCCTCCTCCTCTTCCTCCTCTTCCTCCTCCTCCTCCTCCTCTTCTTATTGTTATTTTTCCGTATTATTAGTATTAGTATTATTATTGGTATTATTCCTCTTATTATTATTAGTATTCGTATTCTTCTTCTTGTTATTATTAGTCTTATTCTTCTTATTATTGTTAGTATTACTATTACTATTATTAATATTATTGTTATTATGATTATTAGCATTATTATTTGTATTATTATTGTTATTATTATTAGTATTATTATTATTAGTATTAGTATCATTAGTATTATCATTATGTTTAGTATTATTATTATTATCATTATTATTATTATTATTATTATTATTCCCTCCTCCTCCTCTCCTCCTCCTCTCCTCCTCCTCCTCCTCCTCCTCCTCCTCCTCCCTCCTCCCCCCCCCTCCTCACCTCCTCCTCCTCCTCCTCCCTCCTCCTCTCCTCTCCTCCTCCTCCTCCTCCTCCTCCTCCTCCTCCTCCTCCTCCTCCTCCTCCTCCTCCTCCTCCTCCATCCCCCTCGTCCGCCCCTCGCCACCCCCCTCTCCTTCTCCTCCGACGACAACAAAAAGCAGCGGCGACGGCGACAACGGGCACGCAGCGCGGCGGCAAATCCTGCGAACAAATCCCCCTCCCGGGCCGGCGGCGGGCAGCCGCGTTTCCCCCCGAGGCCTCCAGCTCCCGCTCCCAGACCCACTTCGGCGGCCCGCTCGACTCTGCTATCGCCGAGGACCTCGGCTCGGCCTCTCCGACCCGTCCGATTGGAGAGGGAGGAGGCTGGGGGAGGTTGGGCGGGGGAGGGGGAGGCGGAGGAGAACGGGGAGGGGGAGGCAGGAGGCAGGAGACAGGAGGAGCAGCAGGAGAGCATCAGGAGAGGCCCACCGTCTGACGCAGTGTCGCTCGTGAAGCTCACAACTGAAGCTGAAGACCTGCCCTTGCACCAGCAGGCCAAAACGCCCCATCAAGGGCGTCTCGCTCACCTCGCCTCGGGCAGCACCCGCAAGCCCGATGTGAGGCACCACGCCGCCCAGGCCGAGTGGCCTGAGCACGGCGCTGGGACTTCAGCCTGCACGGGGCGA